TATTAGAAAAAAAATAAATTAAAAACAAAAAGTTTCAAACTTTAAAAAAAATTAATTTTAAGAAATACAAAAACATTGTCTTTTTTATTAAGTTAATTTAATAAAATTTAATAATTTATATACAATAAAAAGCAATTTATAATGAAAATAAGTTGTTAATATGAAATTAATAAATTATACCCCATTATAAGTTTTAAGTATTAATTAATAATATTAAGTAATAATTAGTTTGCAAAATGATATATTTTTTTGTTTTTACATTTATTAACTGTAATGTTTTATTTTTTTAATATTAATAAAAATATTTTATAAATAATAGTAATTTAAAAAAAAGTAATACTATTTCTTTTTAAATGCTACCGTATAACTATTTATATAAAAATAAATTGAAAAAAAATGGCTTAAAATAATAACAAAAAAACTATTGAAAATAAAAAAGCAACCAAACTCATCTGTTCAAAATTAGCTGCTATGTTTTGGGATTATAAAGAAGCTTCAAAAAAAAATCCTTGTAAGCTTATTTATTGGATGCAACAAATAGATAACATTGATAGTGAGGCATATATAAGTGAGTATTATGAAATAGAAAGTGAAAAAAATAATCTTGAAATAAAATACAAGTGGTACAATGTTCTTAAATTAATACCAGAAAAATTATGTTCTAAAGTAAATAATTCATTTTTATCAGAAGAAATATTTTTTTGGCAAAACAATTTACTTTGACAAATTCAAACACTAGAGAATATAAATAGAAACTATTCTAAATAACTTTTTTTAAGTTTTGTATGTTGAATATTTCTTTTTTAATATTTTAGAAAAAAATGCATAGAAATATAAAAATTAGATAATGTAGAGAAATGACAACACAGATAAGAATTAGGTGATCGATTAAACATGGAGCATTACACATTAAGCACAAACGTTTGAATTTTTCAAAAGATAAATAAAACCAATAATTTTTGTTACTTTCAGGTGTTTCATACAAAATGGGATGGAATTTTTATCTAGATCTAATAAATGGGTAGATGGGAAGTTTCATTTTTATTAGTAAGTTTATATTTTCTAATTTTTAAGGCCAGTTTACACTTAAAGCTTTTTTTTTGGTTTCAAGATTTTGAGACTTTCTTAGTTAAAAACAAGTAAAATTTAATAAACAGGGGGAAGGGGTCTTAATAAAAAATGCTTTTTTATTCAAACCAGACTTTACAGTTTATTCCATATTTCAAGTAATATACCAGGAACATATGTAGACTACAACTATGACACTCAATGAATTTTAGGAAACAAGTATTTCAGAAGAGAAATACTTGTTTCTAAAGAGAATCAAGATCTTCATTTTTTGTTTCAGAAGATTATCAAGATCTTCATATTAAATTCATTAAAAGATTCTGTTGAATGTTCAAAATTCACATGGTCATAGAAATATGATCTCTATTGGATACCTTTTAGAGGTGTACCCTCCAACTTTTTCCCAGTTACGAATGACTGAAACAATTTTTATTTCTCATTTGTGTCGTCCACTAAGATAATCAGTATAAAGGTTTTTTTTCCACATTTTTTCTCAGGTAAAAATAATGAAAAAAAAAAAATTTAAACGTCTGACTACTAAAATATGTCTTATAAGAAACGGTTTATTTAAAAGTAAATTAATTAAATTATTAATTAAAATAAAGTTTTGTCATTTATATAATATAAATATAAAAACAAAGAATCGCATTAAGTTGTTTGCTACCAGCCAAACAAAAATTTTTTTGGCAACAACCGCACATTTTTTTGAATAATATTTGAATAGCATAACATTGACAATTGAATAAAATTCGATAATAATAAAGTGTTTAACACACATTATTAAACAATAATAAATGCAAACTGCTTAAAACTATTGTTTTTGCAAGTAGTAATTAAAACATCAAGTCCAAAACAAACCTCATTTAATGAATAAAAATAATATTTTTTTTTCAAAATACTTTGGTAATTACTTAACTAAATACTTAACACAAGTAAAGGTTTACAGTGTTAACGCTGTTTTATTTTATAACTAAATTTAAAGTTTTTTTATGAAGAATTATTCAAGATTTTTTAACTTTGTGATAATTACACTTTTTTATAATTACACAATATAGCTCTTATTTTTTCTTGATTATGTAGAGAATTAATTAAACCTTCAGAACAAACAAATTCTGTGACTAGAATGGAAATTTATGTACAAAACAAGATAAACTGTAAAGCATACTCGAAAACCGCAGTGGCTTGCGGTAGTTAAAGAGTTAAACCATAATAATTTGTAAATTTAACATAAAACGAACAACTCTATTGAACCATATGAACTAAATATAAAAATATATTATTTTTCTCTGCCTGCGAACTCTAATAATCACAAAATATGTATAATTGTGTCATGATTTTGGCTGGCTTCTACAACAAAGTAATAATAAAAAATTTATAAATATAAAAATATTTATATATAAATTTGTATAATTTTTTACTAAGTCACAAATATTTTTAGTGATTTATTAAAAAATTATGCAAATAATTGATTTTCTGATTGTAGTAGAAAAAATACTTATATCTTTAAAAAAACAGCAACAAAAAAACGCTATCTTAAAAAGATATTGCGAGGTAGTCATATACCGAAACTGTTATGAATTAAACACGCTTAAATAAATTATCAAGTCTAACATAATACAGACTCCGAAAACCAAAAAAAAATGGAGAAGACAAGCTTCGACTAAAACAATAATTTTAATTTTGTTGGTATGCATTCATTATTTAGTTTCAATCAAAAAAATTTAGCCCAAATGTTTTTTTTAAACATTTTCTTTAATATGAACACAACTTGTCTCGGTAGTTGGGGATCCCTTTAAAACATGATTTTAATGTTATGAACATTTTTCATTATACTTAGACTTTTTTTTAGAAATAATGCATTTTTACTAGCATCATTAACTGCGTTCTAATAATTTCACATACATTTTAATCTCAGACTTAGTGTTACTAATAATTTAACTGCCAATTTTTTGATTAAAAATGCGACGATGAGGTTTAAAAAATGATACAATAGCATTTTGAAATGAAAGAAAATGTAACTTTAAAACTCATTTTAAATTGAGAAGAACCGTGCTTCAAAATGCAACAATATTTAAAAAAACAGTACAGTTGCACTTCAAAATATTACATCACATGTCGGCTTCTTTTTATCAAATTCGGTAAAATTATAAAACACACTGTAGTGTATTCATTGTTAAACGAAGTTTATGTGTACTCATTGTTAAACCAAGTTGCTCTCTAATAAACTGAATATTTCCAAAATGTATATTTAGTATATGTTTTCCAACATATTATAATATTTTAATAATCCAACATTCATCAATCAGCACCCGATTTGATCAATTTAAAATAGTTTTTAAGATTAGGCTCTTTCACAAAAATTTTTAATTCTAAAACAAAAATATTTACTCTAGCCCTCATTAAAAAAAAAAAGCTATAATAACAGATTTGAATTTTTTTTTTGTCTAAAAGTGTCCATAACTTATTCGCTATTTAAAAAAAAAAAAGTATAAAACCAACTTGATCAAAAGTTGTTAGCTGATAAAAAAAGATTTTAAAAAAATATATATGCCAGCAGGCAATTGTTTTTAAAAGTTACGTTCTAAATGTATTTTTAATGTCTTTTAAATGTCTTCTAAATATTCTTTCATAAAGAATGTTTAAAAGAAACAGTTTAAGAGAAATTGTAATTGCCAATTTTTTCATGGGGCATAAAATGGCACTTGTTATATATTCTTGTAACATTAAAGTTATAAACAAATACTTGTAACTAGTATAAAACCAATTTTTGTATTTAATTTGCTTTTTAATGATTGCACAGATTAATTGTGCAAAAAAAAAACTTTCATAAGAAGCTGTTTAGAATGCATAAATTATTACGTAAATATATCAAATACATAAACTATGTAACTATTAAATATATAATTAAATATGTAATAAAAATGCATAATAAAATTACAAAATTATTAAGTACATAAATTACTATGTAATTATATTAAATACATAAATTATTAAGTTTACTTTTTACTTAATTAAATAAAGTAACAAATTAATTATAATGTTTACAATAAACCCATTTTATTTAAATTATCAATATTATACATAATTACGTTTATATAAATATGTATTTTTTATAAATCTTTTCAAACTTTTTCTTGGATTAATTTTATAAACACTTTTTTAATAGCAAAAATTTTTAGCGCGAAAACAAACATTAGGTAACAACTCAAATTTAATAGTGTAATGAAAAGTACTGGTTTCTAAAAGTATTAAAATAACTATTATGTTAAAATTTTTGTAAAATAAATTTAAAAGGGGTTTTAAAAGTTAAAATATTTTTTGAAATTTATAAAAACCATCGGACAAAAAAGTATATATAAATACTAAACTATAAATTGAAATTAATAACTAATTGCAACGTTTTAATATGAATGATAAAAACCCGGCTACTAAATTCAAAAAAATGTAATGCTTTGGCGTCTTTTTAATAATGAATTAACTCAAAAAAATGAAGTTCAAAAAATAAAGTTTATACAATACTGAATTTATTAATAATTTTGGAACAAATAAAATAATTAGAAAATAAATGCACATGAAATATATGTTGGACAAAATGACTGATAGGTGTTATTTTTTACCGGACAAGTGCCAGACAATGTCTGATGTCTGGCGCTTATTTTAAGCCCTGTATATATATATACATATATATATATATATATATATATATATATATATATATATATATATATATATATATATATATATATATATATATATATATATATATATATATATATTATAGTTATTTTTTAAAAAATTTTTCAGACATTTTTTATTTTTTTAATTCAAGCCAAAATGATATTACTAAATATTTTACAAATATCAAAGAGGTGATGTCCTATATCCTAAATGTTATCCTTGCTAACATACTAAAAATAATATTAAATATTTACCATTTTGAAAACAGTTAGAAGATAAAAGATGAGCAAAACTTTTTTCTTCTTCATTCATTATTTATCTGCTTCTGTAATAACCATTTATTCATGTTCCCAGTATAACTTGAAAATGTGACATTTTTGTTGATTTCATTGATTACTCTATTTAAAAAGTTTAACCTACAAATATAAATAAAAGCCTAAAAACATTTTTTTAATTCTTTTTTACTGGTTTGTTTAAAATTTAAATGTTTCTAAAAAATGAATTTTTTAATAAACATTGACCAAGTCTATGGAGTATATATAATTTTTTGGTAACACCAAATTAACAGCCAACCTCTAAGTGTTTGAGGTTGGCAGTTAGGTCATTTCAAAGTTTTATGGTAAGACCTTTGTATCAATTTTTTTTTACCGACCTCTTAAAAATTGAGGTCTCATCAGGTTGACCTCATTTTTCCTAATTCCAAGGGTTTTATATATATATATATATATATATATATATATATATATATATATATAATATATATATATATATATATATATATATATATATATATATATATATATATATATATATATATATATATATATATATATATGTATATGTATATATATATATATATATATATATATATATATACATATATATATATATATGTATATGTATATATATATATATATATATATATATATATATATACACATATATATATATATATATATATATATATATATATATATATATATCAGGGTCTATTCTAGACTGTTTTCAACAGCGTCGACTGTATTTGGGGGCACTGCTGAGGGGGTACCACCACCCAAATTTTTTTCCTAGAATAGGCTCTGTATATATTATATAAGTCTTCCTGATACAACTAAGGTGACTCAACTATTAGATCAAAGCCCAAATCAGAACATGCATTGTGAATATGACAAAAAAGGAAATGAACTTTTTACAATTTTTTAAATAATAAACCAAGAAGATTTCATGACAATTTTAAGAGCAATGTGGGACAAATGGGCTTTAAAAAATATCAAAACTAATGCTGCAAAGAGAGTTGGGATATCTAAAGATGGTTTAAATGTAAATAATATGCAGCAAGATAAATTTCAACAGGCTGCTAATTGGATGGCTCAAAATCAGGAGGAGAAGTCTTCTGGCAGTTTTGCTCTGGGTACACCAAAGAAAATATGCACACATTCATCAGCTTATATTTTGTTAACACTAGTTATTCCGCATTCATTGTCTGAATTAGCAAAAACACATAAGCGATATTGATATCAATATCAGTCGCCAATAAGATTAAAAAACAAGCAAGTAACGATAAAAAAAAAGAATAATTTCATAAATGTAAATTAAAATGTGTTTGCAATAACATTTGTAGAGTAAATAACTTATAGCATTGACGAAATGAAGTCAATAATGAATAAACTAAAAAGCTCATTCCGCTAACCCGGGGAGAACATAGTAAAAAGTATTTTTTTTTTAATTTGTAGCAACAATGTAGATATCTATAAACCAAGGAATAGCAAACCCATGTCAAAAAGTGTTTTTTAGTTTAAGTTTTTTTTTTTAATTTTAAAATGTTAAACCACATTTTCTAAAAATGAGAGTATTTTTATGAATGAGAGTATTTATATGTATTATATTATATTTTATATGAAGTCTTAAAACTAAGAGTATTATACGCTTAAGCTCAAACAATACTTGTCGAGAATATCAATTATGACTTTGTTGTTTTCAAGGTGTTTGGATTTTTACGGTGTACCTACCTGGACTAGCTTTTTTCCATTGTTGCTAGTTATTATGTGAATTTTCTAAATAAAAATCATTTAAAAAAAAATTTCATATGCTTTAATCATAAGCACATATGAACTTATTAGTAATTAACTTTATACAACTATTTATGAAGCTAATGGTTAATAAATAGCAATTAATTATGTCCTCAATACCAGCAGCTATAAAAAGATAGTTATTGTAATCGCAAAAATTAACAGCTAATGACAGAGTAATACCGCTGATGTGCTTTAAAAAAATGTTTGAATAGTTAAAGCGGCTTTTTCTTCATTCTTAAAATAAAAACATGTAATCAATTTAAATCAAAAAATATAGCAAAAACATTTACTAAAAAATATAATCTTTTTTGTACTAAAAAGTAGAAAATAAACTTTTTAATTTAAATTTAATAGTTCAGTAAACTAAAGATTGACTGCACAAGATTTATATAAAAACAAACCTGTCAATCTTTAGTTTACTGAACAATTAAATTTAAATTAAAAAGTATATTTTCTACTTTTTAGTACAAAAAAGATTAGGGGTCGTCCATAAAGGACGTCATTCAGAATTTAATTACTAACCAGAAGTAGAATTTTATTGGTTCTCTTCCGCGGAGATTTTCATTGAACATAAGGTCTTTTTGTCATTAGTTAAACTTTAAGTGACGTCCTTTATGGATGATCCCTTATATTTTTTAACAAATGTTTTTGCTATATTTTATTTTCTACTTTTTAGACAATATATTAGTATGAAACAAAATTTTTTTGTCAATAAAAGTATTTTTAAAAGATTTAAAAAAAAAAAAAAAAGTACAAACCAACAACAATTTTAGCAAATTTTAAAAATGAAAAGTATTTATAAAAAGGAAAAAAGCAGTAAACAGTGTAAACTCTCGCCTCCACTTTTCTTCCGCAGCAGACGGCGGCTGCGGAAAATTTTTTATGTTCCGCCGCCTTTCTATCGACGGCCGCAGTCAGAGATTTTTTTAAAGGTAAAATATTTTTCAGGCAGACGCCAATAGAGAGAGGCGGAAGCCAATGGTGGCCGCCTCCAGTAAAAATTTTGGAGGCAAAACCATTTGGTTGCCGCTTCAATAGCTTTTGTCTCTCAGCTGGCTGCGGCCGATAAGATAGAGGCAGAAATATTTGCCTCCCGGCGGCGGATGTAATGAAAAGTTTCACGTTTGCCTTTAAGTTAACGAGCAATTAAATTATTAACTGAGAACAAATGTTAAATATTTGACATCAAAGTTTTGTTTTGTATGATTTATTGACTATTTAAAAACATTTTTGAAAAAAAATTATTATTTTGTCAGAGCGGTTGTTTTTCTAGGACTATTGAATAAGTTTTTAACTTTTAAACGTTTGAAACTTTTAATCGCTTAACTTTAAAACGTGTACAAGTAGATGAGTTTATATTTTTAAACGTTTTAAAACTATAGAGTAAAATATAAATAATATTTATAAAAGTATTTATATTTTAAGTTTATAAATTTTATTTATTTTTTGGTTGTAATTTGGCAAAACTATTAGCATAATACAGCGTAGTCACAAAATTTTTATAAACATTACCAGTTATTTTTTCAATAACTTTTACAATATTCAATTATTAAAAATAAGTATTTAACGTTAGTATTTAACGTAATTTTAGCATGTCGACTTGTTCTAAAAAACCAAAATGAGTCAATTTTTTTTTTTTTTTTTTTTAATAGTCAAAAAGATTTATTCGCCAATGGCATAGAAGTAAAATTTCTAGCTTTTAACTTTTGTTTTGAATAATAAAATACTAATTTATTCTACTTAATTTATAAGTTAAAAAAAAAAAATTAGAACTTTTTTAAATACTGCACATAATCATATAAAGTGAAATTTGATGTCAAATATTTAACATTTCTTTCTAGTTAATATTTAATTGCTTTAAAGCAAACGAACAATTATTTTTCATTATATCCCCGGGCGTGAAGCAAACATTCCCGCCTCCAATTTGGCGGCCGCAGCCAGTTAGGAGATAGAAGCCATTAGAATTGGTCTCCAAATGATTCTGTTTCCACAATTTTTTTTTGGGGGGGCGGCCACTAATGGCTTCCGCCTCCCTAACGGCGTCAGCCTCCAAAATATTTTACTGAGCTTTATATAGGTTACAAGTTATTATAATGTAATATTTATATGAAACTAATTACATAACTTTTTTAACTTCTAAAATGATTCTTACTTTCGTATTTGGGTAGAAAAACAAATGGTTTGTATCTGGGATCTTTCTTCTCTAGACCAATTCTTTTGCGTGAAGGACATTTTTAAGGAAGTTTTTTAGGCAGATTGCTGTTTTCCAAATTATAATCTTTCCAGCAATAATTTTTATGGCATTTTCATAGTTTTCATAGAGTATAATGAAATGAGTACATTTCATTATACTCTGTTGGTTTGATAGTTCTAAATTTTGTATAACCTTTCATTTCTTTAGTAAGACAAATGAAAAATAAGTTTTATAAAATGATTGTGCTCTTTTGGTTTCATTTTGTTAAAGAAATATATTTTTTCTGTTTACAATAAAAGCAAAAGTTAAAATAGTTTTTAAAAATGATCCAATTACTTTCTGAGCGTTTTTTTTTGGTTCAAGCCAAAAAAAAAACTTTAATAAAAAATAGTATAATAATTAATTAAATCAATATAAAGCAATGTAGCAACACCAGCACTAATATAAAGCAATATAACTTTACAAACGTTTGTAAGGTTACATAGCTTTATACAAATGCTGGTGTAGACAATGTAATGCATAGAACAGTATTAGTAATAAATATATCAATTATTTTCAATAGATATCATAACAATAGTGTTACAACAATGTACCAATATACTACTATATATAAATTGTTTATAGTAAATAAATCTATACAGATAAGATTATCGGCTGAAAAAGTGCAAAGTAATACTTTTTCATATATGAACTTATTATTATCAGTTTCACTAACTATTGTACTATTTCCTTGTATTTAAAATGAATATTTATGTTTGTAAATAAGATAATTAAATTTTGTTTATGTAATTATTTACTTTTTTTACAAAAAAAATCATAAAACAAACAGCTTTCAGACCTACTATAAGATTTGTAAAAGTAACAGCTTTCAGCCTACTGTGTGAAAAAATTGGGTACAAAAATAAGATCTAGCTCATGTTCAAGCCCACTGTGTATTGCTTATAAAATTATTTATCATGTACTTTATTTGGAACATTACCTCATACAGATACACCTTCAAAACAACAATAAAACTTCTTGCTTTAACGCTGCAACATTTTGTACTTAAAACATGATTTTCTTACCATATTTTTTAACTTATGTTTTTTAGTAAAGTCTTGTGAAAAGAAAATTAAAGAAAACATAATTTTTTGGTTTTTACCCCTTAAATACTGCAAAACAGTTTTTGGTTAA